AATCTGGGAAGACCCTCTGGATCTATCCTCCGTGCCGGCCTCCTCTGCCTTCTCGCTCTTCCACCGTCGGGCGCCATCCGGAAGGGGTTCGTTCTGTGCAAACGGCATGAAAGAAGCCGGTTGGCACTGCCAACATCACGGGCCAGAAGAAAGCCTTTTTTCCCCCCCCCACACACGAATGAACGGGGAGGGGGCAGGCGGACCTTGGTGCTGCTGACGGAGGCGGAGACCAGGGCTGTGTCGATGAAGTCCGGGTGCTTGGTGTTGATGTAGGCCAGCTCGATCGCCACCAGGTTGTGGACCTAGGAGGAGGCAGAGAGCGCCGGGGATGGGACAGGCTCCTCCTCCTGAGCTAGGAAGGGGGGCTCAATCCCTTGGGGTCTCGGGGCGGAGAAGCCCGCCTTCCTTACCATCTCGTTGGTGATGGGCAGCCTCCGGCGAAGGACCCCCGTCACCACCTCCACGATGGCCTCGTGCAGTTTGGGGAAGCGGAGCAGCTCCTGAGAGGGAGAACAGAAAAGGAAAAGGAGGCAAAGAGAAGAAGAAATTTGATTTATATTCCGCCCTTCACTACCCATAGGAGTCTCAGAGCAGCTTACAAACTCCTTTCCCTTCCCCTCCCCACCACAGACACCCCGTGAGGTAGGTGGGGCTGAGAGAGCTCTTTTGAGGACTGCTCTTGAGAGAACAGCTCTGAGAGAACTTGTGACTGACCCAAGGTCACACCAGCAGCTGCACGTGGAGGAGTGGGGAATCAAACCCGGTTCTCCCAGATTAGAGTCCGCGCTCCTAACCACTACACCAAACTGGCTCTAAGAAATGGAAGACTTATTTTATTGTTAATCTGGCCTGTAACAGCTCAGACGCTTTAGTGGCCCTGATCCGGCAGAAAGGCAGGGTTATAGATGCTGTAAATAAATATAAATTAATACTCAGTCCCTAGTATGGATGACAGAAGTTCTAGCTAAATACAGTCTAAAAACAGGGCAAGATCCACCCATGTACCTCTCAGTGAGCAGAGTGAAATTTTGTTGAGTCCGGGAGCACCTTCGAGACTAACACAAATTTTGGAGTATAAGCTTTTAAAAGACAGACCTCCCTGTGTATCTGATGAAGGGAACTTTGGCTCTCGAAAGCTCATACCCTGAAGAACGTGTTGGTCTCAAATATTGCTGTTCAACTGCACACCAACAGGGCGGCCCTCTGAACCAACCTCCATGAAATTGTTAAAAGATTTTCTATTTCTTCGCCCAATCGTCAACCAAAAGGGAGACTGCAAGCAAGAAAAATTTGTATTGATGACTAACTGGTTGGTTTGTAATATTGGATTTTCAGGACAGTTGTATACTGTTTTGCAGTTATTATATTTCTTGATATGTTATACTTCCTCTTAATAAAAAATTTTTTAAAAAAAGAAAGAAAGAAAGAAAGGGCACCCACGAAGGAGCTAGAAAAGATCCTGAAGCGTAAGGAGACAAAGATGAAGATAATTCATACTATGATATTCCCCATTACTATATATGGATGTGAAAGTTGGACAATGAGGAAAGCGGACAGGACGAAAAGAGATTCCTTTGAAATGTGGTGTTGGAGGAGAGTGTTACGAATACCTTGTACGAATACCTTAACAGCATTATTTGGGTATTTATTAAGCCAAATCAGATTATCTGGTCTGATTTGGCTACCAAATATAGAGAATCCTGAACAAAAGCCGAAACTATTCAGCTTCTATTTGGCTTTATTTGGCTAAGCTGAATACCAGCTGCCGGGTGTGTGTGTGTTAAACTTTAAAAGGGATACACTTACCTTCACTTTCTTCCCCTTTCCTATTTGCTCTGGTTTCCAGAGCAACAGGAGGGAGGGGGGACCTCTGCAGGGCCAAAGGCAAAAGCCCCTTGGGGGAGCTTAGAGCCAATCATTTCAATGTATTTATAAATACCATTACATTGCAAAAGCCTGAACTCTCCCTAGAAGCTAAAATGATTAAACTTCGTGTTATTTATTATTTATATTTCATCTTCTTTGATGGACCGTCTCCAGGCTCCACCCCCCAAATTTCTACAAATTTCCCAACCTGGAGTCGGCAACCCTATTTACACGGCATGCAAAGCCGCATTACAACAAATCAGACCAAATCTGCAGCGCTCCAGGCAGAGAAAGGGCCCTTACCTTTGGCCACCAGAAACCTGCCCTCTGCTTGTCTCCCCAAGAGGCAGGCCCTCTTTCACCTCCAGGAGTTCTTCATGCATCTTACTGTCACATTTCTATTGGGGGGTTAGCCATGGAGCCCACAGGGCCATACCTGCGTGTTGTACGTGGAGCAGTGTTGAATGATGCGCTGCAGCTCCTCGTGGACCAGCTCCACACAGCGCAGGCTGGGCTCCTCCAGGCGCTTGATCTGCCTCCTCACCAGCAGCTCAAAGGAGACTTCGGGGACAAAGAGGGCCGGGCGGGGACCCTGCGGAGGAGGCAGGAAGCGGCCTCATCAGTACCAAAGCAGAACAGAGCTATGTATGAACACCCATGAAGCTGCCTTATACTGAATTAGACCTCTCTGGTCCATCAAGGTGAGTACCATCTACTCAGACTGGCAGCAGCTCTCTAGGATCTCAGGCTGAGGTCTTTCACATCACCCACTGCCTGGTCCTTTTAACTAGAGATGCCAAGGACTGAGCCTGAGACCTTCTGCATGCCAACAGTGTTCCCTCTGAGCTGAGTTAGTGTGAGCTAGCTGATAGTTTTTTAGCCTTCAGCTCACACATTTTTGTCTTAGCTCAGGAAGGAGGGCTCCAGAGCAAACTAATTTACACAGTGGCCAAATCGCTCGCTCACAACCTTAATGCCAGTAGTTCACAAAGTCGAATTTTTTGCTCACAAGACTCCACAGCTTAGAGGGAGCATTGCATGCCAAGCAGATGCTCTACCTCTGAGCCATAGCTCCTCAGTGAGCCCCTCCTCATACTGAATCAGACCTCTTTGGTCTGTCAAGGTCAGTATCGTCTACTCGGACTGGCAGCAGCTCTCCAGGGTCTCAGGCGGAGGTCTTTCCCATCACCTACTGCCTGGTCCTTTTAACTGGAGATGCCGGGGATTGAATCTGGGACCTTCTGCCTGCCAACCAGATGCTCCGCCACTGAGCTGCAGCCCCTCCCCGATCTGTCCCAGTGCCTGGAACCAGGAACTCCACCTCTCAAAAGGCGAGAGATATTTTTTGCTTTCCCCTCTCCACAGTGACCATCCAGGCTATTGAGGCAAGGACAGTGCTGGTGGGAAAGCTCTTCCCCAGTGCAGTCTCTCACTCAGATCCTCCCAACAGCCTGAATCGGCAAGCCAGTATCATTATCCTCATGTTGCGGCCGGGGGAGAGAACCTGGCTTGCCTTCTGCCAGCTGGAGTGTTCACGGGCAAGAAGAGACTCAAACAGGGACCTTCCCTAGATGACAGCACCATCTCTTCACCATATCAGCTTTCTCTGACAGGACACCGGTTCTCTCTGCAGCGTCCCCGCCTCTGGATAACCTCGGTTGACTGGGGTAGCAGAATCGGGTTGCCAGCTCTGGGTTGGGAAATACCTGGAGATTTGGGGGGTGGAGCTTGGGGTGGGCTATGTCTCAGAAGGGGGGAGACCTCAGTGGGGTGCAACGCCACAGAGTCCACCCTCCAAAGCAGCCATCTGCTCCAGGGGAACTGCGTCTCAGGTCATCCGGAGATCTGCTGCAATTCCAGGAGACCTCCGGGTGCCACCTGGAGATTGGCAACCCTACGACAGAGTCAGGGTATTCCACAGGTGCAAAGGCAGACGTCACCTCCCCTGCCTTCCAGGTGCAAGATCGGGGCTTACCGTGGCGTTGCGGATGGCCGTCAGGATATCCAACATTGTCAGCCCGGCCAGAGGATCGATGGATTCCAGCGTACGGCCGAAGGTCTCGTGGAAGATGTAGCACATCCGTGCGCCCCCACACCTAGGAGAGAAGGACAGGTGGTCGGCCTCTGAGAGAACCCACGTCCCCTTCTCTGCCCTGCGCTCGGCCGTGTTTGTCAGAGCATGATGTTGAGCACATAAAACTGCCTTGGACTGGATCAGACCCTTGGTCCATCAAAGACAGTATTGCCTACTCGGGCTGGCAGCTACTCTCCAGGGTCTCAGGGAGAGGTCTTTCCCATCACCTACTGCCTAGTTCTTTTTAACTGGAGATGCTGGGGATTGAACCTGGGACCTTCTGCATGCTGAGCAGATGTTCTGCCACTGAGCCAGGGTCTCAGGTCGAGGTCTTTCACATCACCTCCTGTCTGGTCTTTTTAACTGGAGATGCTAGGGATTGAACCTGGGACCTTCTGCATGCTGAGCAGATGTTCTGCCACTGAGCCAGGGTCTCAGGTCAAGGTCTTTCTCATCACCTACTGCCTAATTCTTTTTAACTGGAAATGCCGGGGATTGAACCTGGGACCTTCTGCATGCCAAGCAGAGGCTCTGCCACTGAGATACAGCCCCTCCCCAACACACAAAGCTGGCTTATACTGAATCAGTCCATCAAGGTTGGTATCGTCTACCCAGACTGGCAGCAGCTCTCCAAGATCTCACGCAGAGGTCTTTCACATCACCTACTGCCAGAACCTTTAACTGGAGATGCCAGGGATTGAGCCGGGGAACTTCTGCATGCCTAGCAGAGGCTCTGCCACTGAGCCACGGCCCCTCCCCAACACACAAAGCTGCCTTCTACTGAATCAGTCCATCAAGCTCGGTATCGTCTACACAGACCGGCAGCAGCTCTCCAGGGTCTCAGGAGGAGGTCTTTCTCATCGCCTCCTACCTGATCCTTCTAACTGGATATGCCGGGGATTGGACCTGGGACCTTCTGCCTGCCAAGCGGAGGCTCTGCCACTGAGCCACGGCCCCTCCCACGTTTCCTCCCGGCCAGGAGGGGGCGCTGCTCACAGCTCGGAGGTCTCGATGTTGCGGGCTGTGCCCTCGATGGTGTTGCAGTACTCGGTGGCGAACTTCGTGATGATCTGCAGCAAGGTGGCGTTCTTGTCCTCGATGGGCTGCCCGTAGCTCTGCAGGACGGACTGGTACTGGGCCGTCAGCACGTTCACCCGAGTCTTCAGCTCGGGCAGGCAGTCCCGGATGTGGTGCATCAGCAGCCTGGGGGGGCAGAAGCGACCCGGATCAGGGCCTCCGCAAGGCCCCCTCCCCAGAGCAGAGACCTTGGGAGAGCGCAGAAGAGGACTGCAGGGCGACACGCAGGCTCCTTTCCCACCAGCTGCTCCCTTAAAGAGGCTACACGTGGGAGTTATCCATCCTGTTTTATTATTCTCACAAAATCCCAGAGTGGGAGCCGCAATGTTCCCTCTAAGCTGTGGAGTCCTGTGGGCAAAGATTCTACTTTGTGAGGTACTGGCATTAAAGTTGTGAGCGAGCGATTTGGCTGCTGCATGAATCAGTTTGCTCTGGAGCCATCCCTTTCTGAGCTAAAGCAACTATGTGTGAGCTGGAGGCTAAAAAACTGTGAGCTGGCTCACATTAACTCAGCTTAGAGGGAACAGTGGTGGGAGGTCATAAGAACATAAGAGACGCCAAAGGCCCATCCAATCCAACACTCTGTGTCACACAGTGGCCAGAAATACCAGGTGCCATCAGGAGGTCCACCACTGGGGCCAGGACATTAGAAGGCCTTCCACTGTTGACCCCCCCCAAGCACCAAGAAGACAGAGCATCACTTGCCCCAGAGCCCCTATCTGTACCTTGTGGCTAGTAGCCACGGATGGACCTCTGCTCCATATGCTTATCTAATTCCCTTTTGAAGCCGTCCACCCTTGTAGCTGCCACCACCTTCCCATGGCAGTGAATTCCAAGTGTTAATCACTCTTTGGGTGAAGAAGGACTTCCTTTTATCCGTTCTAACCCGACCGCTCAGCAGTTTCATGGAGTGCCCACGAGTTCTTGTATTGTGAGAAAGGGAGAAAAGTACCTCTTTCTCTACCTCTCTCTCCTGTTTTACTCCAACAAAATCCCCGAGTGGGAGGCAATGTCCCCTCTAAGCTGTGGAGTCCTGTGAGCAAAGATTCTACTTTGTGAGCTACTGGCATTAAAGTTGTGAGCGAGCGATTTGGCTGCTGCACAGATCAGTTTCCTCTGGAGCCGTCCCTTCCTGAGCTAAGACAAAAATGTGTGAGCCGGAGGCTAAAAAAACTGTGAGCTGGCTCACATTAACTCAGCTTAGAGGGAACAGTGGTGGGAGGTCCAGCTCACGTGTGGGGGTGAAGCACCACCTGACAGTCGGGTGCACGTTTTACACGGACAACACACACACACACACACACTCCTGATTGCTCCAGAGAATCCCAGAGAGTAGGACGGAGAAAGTTCTTCCGCTGTTCAATACCTCAGAGACAGGCCACCAGACACAACAGACCAGGCGTCCCCAACGAGGAGCCCGTGGGCACCGTAGTGCCTGCCCACACCATTCCTAGTGCCTGCCTCAGGTTTTCACTTTATTTATCTGTTCAATTTATACCCCGCCCTCTCCGCCAAAGGAGGCTCAGGGTGGGTCACGACATAAATAGAAGAAGAAGAAGAGATTGGATGTATACCCCGCCCTTCACTACCCAAGGGAGTCTCAGAGTGGCTTACAAACTCCTTTCCCTTCTCCCCCCCACAACAGACACCCTGTGAGGTAAAAGAAGAAGAAGAAGAAGAGATTGGATTTATGCTCCGCCCTTCACTACCCAAAGGAGTCTCAGAGCGGCTTACAAACTCCTTTCCCTTCTCCCCCCCACAACAGACACCCTGTGAGGTAAAAGAAGAAGAAGAAGAAGAAGAGATTGGATTTATACCCCGCCCTTCACTACCCAAGGGAGTCGCAGAGTGGCTTACAAACTCCTTTCCCTTCTCCCCCCCACAAAAGACACCCTGTGAGGCGGGTGGGGCTGAGAGAACTCTGACACAAACTGCTCTTTTTCAAGGACAGCTGTGCCAGAGTTTGTGACTGACCCAAGGTCATCCAGCAGGTGCAAGTGGAGGAGTGGGGAATCAAACCCGGTTCTCCCAGATTAGAGTCCGCACACTTAACCACGACACCAACGTTCTAAAGCTCTTTGTGTGAATCCTCTGGCAAAAAATCTACGTACAGCACTTTAGAATTGTTTGTATGAATTTGTTCTGTTTTTTTAAAAAAAATAATGATGTCAGCCGCCCTGAGCCTGCCTCGGTGGGAAGGGCAGGGTATAAATCCCATAAATAAATACATTAAATAGAGCTGTAAACGTCCAGATCAAAAGACAGATGGCGAGCCAAGAATAACCCATTGTGCCACTTGGGTTAAAGACCACTTTTTAGTGAGTGGGCACAGCCAGGAGAGGCTTTTGCCTAGCAGGGCTGCCGATTGGCTGTGCAGATTTGCAAAAATGTTGCTTTGGCAGCCGCCACCGCCACCACAATGCAAGGATTTTCACTATGTGACTGAAGGAAGAGGAAGAAGAGATTGGATTTATATCCTGCCCTTCACTATCCAAGGGAATCTCAGAGCAGCTTACAAATGCCTTTCCCTTCCCCTCCCCACAACAGCTTTGATTCCCCACTCCTCCACGTGCAGCTGCTGGTGTGACCTTGGGTCGGTCAAAAGTTCTCTCAGAGCTGTTCTCTCAAGAGCAGTCCTCGGGAGAGCTCTCTCAGCCCCACCTGCCTCACAGGGTGTCTGTTGTGGGGAGGGGAAGGGAAAGGAGTTTGTAAGCCGCTCTGAGACTCTTTTGGGTAGTGAAGGGCGGGGTATGAATCCAATCTCTTCTCTTCTATACCAATACTGTCAGGTTGGTTTTTCAGAAAGCAGCTGATCACGTTTTCAGGGGGTGAGCGCAAATATTGAAGATTCCCTTTCAGAGCAAAGGACCCAAGCGAGCGGCTAGGATCTGGGACACCCGGGTTCGAATCCCCACTCTGCTACGGAAGCTTGCTGGGCAATCTTAGACCAGTCACGCCCTCCCAGCCTAGCCTACCATACAGGGTTGTTGTGAGGAGAAAACAGAGGAGAGAAGAATTACCTAAGCCATCCTGGGTCCCCGCTGGGGAGAAAATCAACAAATAATCAATACAGAGACTTGGCCTGCCCCAGAGACGCTGGGACCCCTTTCGAATCTCCCCCTCTCCCCAAATCCAGAACCTTTCTGTAAATTATGAAGGGCCTTTTCCTAGTGTAGTTTCTCTCTCACCTGTTCAGGGTCTTGGCCAGGTACCGTGTCCCGTTCCGGTTGGCGAGCGACGGGTACCTCTTCTGCAGGAAACCCTGTTCGTCTCGCAAGGACTCGCTGATGCTCTTGCTGCTGTTGATGTCGTGTTGGCTCCTGGGGGAGGAAATTTCGGAGGGGTCAGGAGAGACAAGGGCACTGACACCTCGTAGAGAGTCTATCTGCCCCCACCGCTCTGCAACTCCACCACTCTCTAAGAACCTCAGAAGAGCCCTGCTGGATCAGACCAGGGAGGGTCCATCTAGTCCAGCCTCCCGTCTCACACAGGGGCCAGCCAGTCCCCCTGGAGGGCCAGCAACAGGGCAGAGAGGCCGAGGCCTTCCCCTGATAAGAACCTCAGAAGAGGCCTGCTGGATCAGACCAGGGAGGGTCCATCTAGTCCAGCCTCCCGTCTCACACAGGGGCCAGCCAGTCCCCCTGGAGGGCCAGCAACAGGGCAGAGAGGCCGAGGCCTTCCCCTGATAAGAACCTCAGAAGAGGCCTGCTGGATCAGACCAGGGAGGGTCCATCTAGTCCAGCCTCCCGTCTCACACAGGGGCCAGCCAGTCCCCCTGGAGGGCCAGCAACAGGGCAGAGAGGCCGAGGCCTTCCCCTGATAAGAACCTCAGAAGAGGCCTGCTGGATCAGACCAGGGAGGGTCCATCTAGTCCAGCCTCCCGTCTCACACAGGGGCCAGCCAGTCCCCCTGGAGGGCCAGCAACAGGGCAGAGAGGCCGAGGCCTTCCCCTGATAAGAACCTCAGAAGAGGCCTGCTGGATCAGACCAGGGAGGGTCCATCTAGTCCAGCCTCCCGTCTCACACAGGGGCCAGCCAGTCCCCCTGGAGGGCCAGCAACAGGGCAGAGAGGCCGAGGCCTTCCCCTGATAAGAACCTCAGAAGAGGCCTGCTGGATCAGACCAGGGAGGGTCCATCTAGTCCAGCCTCCCGTCTCACACAGGGGCCAGCCAGTCCCCCTGGAGGGCCAGCAACAGGGCACAGAGGCCGAGGCCTTCATAAGAACATCAGAATAGTCCTGCTAGATCAGACCAGTGGTTCATCTAGCATGCTGCCTCACACAGTGGCCAACCAATTCCTCTGGAGGGCCAACAACAGGGCACAGAGGCAAAGGCCTTCCACAGATGTTGCCCCCTGCCTTTCGGATTCAGATTAGTGTCTCTGAATGTGGAGGTTCCCCTCAGTAACCATAGCAAGCAGCCATTTATAGACTTGTCGTCTACAAATCTTTCTAATCTCCCTTTAAATCTGTTCATTCCTGAGGCCGTCGCTACATCCTCTGGCCGCAAATCCCACATCCTAATCACTCCCTATGTAAAGTAGTATTTCCCTCTGTCCATCCAGAACCTACTGCCCATCGGATGCTCTCCGATTCTAGTCTTTCGGGAGAGGGAGAAAAAGTTCTCTTGGTCAACTCTCTCCACCCCGTGCCTAATTTTATAAACCTCGGTCATGTCCCCCCCTCAGTCGCCTCCAGTGTTCCCTCTAAGCGGAGTCAGTGTGAGCCAGCTCACAGTTTTTTAGCCTCCGGCTCACACATTTTTGCCTTAGCTCAGGAAGGAGGGCTCCAGAGCAAACTAACTGATGCAGCGGCCAAACTGCTCGCTCACAGCTTGAATGCCAGCAGCTCACAAAGTAGGATTTTTGCTCCACAGCTTAGAGGGAGCGTTGGTCACTTCTTTTCTAAACTGAAAAATCCCAGACTTTTTGGCCTTTCCTCCTAGGGAAGGGGCTCCAACCCCCCTCATCGTCTTGGCTACCCTCCTCTGTCCTTTTCCCAGCTCTGCAATGTCCTTTTTTGAGATAAGGGGACCAGAACTAGACGCAGTATTCTGGCCACCGTATCTTAGCAAGGACCCTGCAGAGCTGGAAGAAGTACAGAGGAGGGCCACCGAGACACTCCCGCCTCCACAGACGTTCTGCAGTAATGGGGCTGGCCTCTTTCCGCAGACTGCCCCCCAGCCTGATGCCAGCACCCTCCTCCCCTCTCACCCAGCACCAACCTGTTGACCACCCCGATGATGCCCAGCTTCACGGGAATGACACGGCCCATCAGCATGTCCATGGCGTCCGTTCCCGCGTCCATCAGGTCCAGCTTGGTGATGACGGCCAGCGTTCTCCGCCCTGCGGAGGACAACAGCCGCTCTTCCCCCATTCCAGGCAGCGGGGCCAGCTGGCAGATGGGGAGACCCGGGCTGCACCCCCTTGACGCCTCTCCCCTGCCCCCCCGCCACACGGCCTGCAGGCTCCTTCCAGCTCATCCCTACACATTCCACAGGCATCCACGCCCATCGTTCCCGTCAATATTCCCCTGCAGTTCTTGGACCAAGACCACAGAATCCTAGGATCACATAGAGTTTGGAAGGGGCCGTACAGGCCACCTAGTCCAACCCCCCTGCTCGATGCAGGATCAGCCTCGAGCAGGGGTGGACAACCTGTGGCCCTTTCACACATATTGTGCGGTTCCCAGCAGGCTCCCCATCTATTTGCTTTCTCTGTTTCTCTCTCTCTCTTCCTTTCCTTCCTCCCCCCCTCCCTCCCCCATCTATTTGCTTTCTCTGTTTCTCTCTCTCTCTTCCTTTCCTTCCTCCCCCCTCCCTCCCCCATCTATTTGCTTTCTCTGTTTCTCTCTCTCTCTTCCTTTCCTTCCTCCCCCCTCCCTCCCCCATCTATTTGCTTTCTCTGTTTCTCTCTCTCTCTTCCTTTCCTTCCTCCCCCCTCCCTCCCCCATCTATTTGCTTTCTCTGTTTCTCTCTCTCTCTTCCTTTCCTTCCTCCCCCCTCCCTCCCCCATCTATTTGCTTTCTCTGTTTCTCTCTCTCTCTTCCTTTCCTTCCTCCCCCCTCCCTCCCCCATCTATTTGCTTTCTCTGTTTCTCTCTCTCTCTTCCTTTCCTTCCTCCCCCCTCCCTCCCCCATCTATTTGCTTTCTCTGTTTCTCTCTCTCTCTTCCTTTCCTTCCTCCCCCCTCCCTCCCCCATCTATTTGCTTTCTCTGTTTCTCTCTCTCTCTTCCTTTCCTTCCTCCCCCCTCCCTCCCCCATCTATTTGCTTTCTCTGTTTCTCTCTCTCTCTTCCTTTCCTTCCTCCCCCCTCCCTCCCCCATCTATTTGCTTTCTCTGTTTCTCTCTCTCTCTTCCTTTCCTTCCTCCCCCCTCCCTCCCCCATCTATTTGCTTTCTCTGTTTCTCTCTCTCTCTTCCTTTCCTTCCTCCCCCTCCCTCCCCCATCTATTTGCTTTCTTTCTTTCTCTCTCTTTCTCTTTCTTTCCACCTCTTTTATTCTTTCTTTCCACCTCTTTCATTCTTTCTTTCCACCCCTCCCCCCCCTCTCTCTCTCTGACAAATAAATATCATTAGCAAACAAATAAATATCATCGAACAAACAAGTATCATTATCAACATCTGTTTTTACCCCTTTTGTTTTTATTTTTGGCAGTCTCATTTATTTATAATGTTAATAAAAGGCAAACTGGCATATTTTTCAATAGAAACGTGTGTGTGATATTTGTTCATGTCTTGCGGCTCTTAAACGTCTCATGTCTATTCTGTATGGCACTTATGTTAAGAACGTTTGGCCAACGCTGGCCTAGAGCCTCCCTGACATGTGTTTGTCCAGCCACTGCCAGTGAGGGGGAGCCCACCACTTCCCCAAGCAGCTGGTTCTGCTGTCGCACAACTCTTACTGTAAAAAAAGTTTTCCCGAAGATCCAGCCGGTACCTTCCCGCTTGTAATTTAAACCCATTATATTGCGAGTCCTCTCCTCTGCTGCCAACAGGAACAGCTCCCTGCGTCTCCTCTAAATGACAGCCCTTCAGACCTTTCAAGAAATCCTGTCCCCCCTCAACCTCCTCTTCTCCAGACTGAACGTTCCCAAGTCCCTCAGCCTTTCCTCACAGGGCTTGGTCTCCAGGCCCCCGATCATCCTCATCGCTCTCCTCTGCACCCGCTCCATCCTGTCCACCTGCACACCTGTTCAGCACCACTCCATTCCAACTGCTACACCAGGCTTCCTTTTCCTAATGAAGATGCCCTGGATCAGGGGTCTCCGCCATGGCGCCCACCGACACGTTTCCTGGTGCCCACCAAGCAATGCTCCCTCTAAGCTGTGGAGTCTTGTGAGCAAAAATTCTACTTTGTGAGCTACTGGCATGAAAGTTGTGAGCGAGCCATTTGGCTGCTGCATAAATGAGTTTGCTTTGGAGCCCTCCTTCCTGAGCGGAGACAAAAAATGCATGACCGGAGGCTAAAAAACTGTGAGCTAGCTCACACTAACTCAGCTGAGAGGGAACACTGCCACCAAGTGTTTTTAGAAAGTGGGCGGGGCTTTTGCCCAGCAGGGCTTCTGACTGGCCAATTTGATTGGCTGTGCAGATTTTTAAAAAACATCTGCTTTGGCAGCAGCTGCCACTGCAGCATCGTTTTCTTCACTGTGTGACTGATGGTAAGCTGTGGCAGCCGTTTGGTGACTTGCTCGGTCTCCTGTGGCAGCCACCACGCTGGGTCGGAATTCCAAAGGTGCCCACAGGCTCAGAGAGGCCCACAGGACCCCGGCCCCAGCTCCATCGCACCACCCCTCTCTCTCTCTCTCTCGAATGTTACATGTCTTATAATGGTCTTTAAATTACGAGCCTATGTTGCCTTGCTAGATTTTTAAAGTGTTATATTCCTTCATAACACACACACACACACACTGTAAACCTGTTCTTTTGACCTCTGTTCTCCAAGCAACATTATCTCGCTCAAGGGTTGGTACAATGCTACCTGTCAGGGAAGAGGATGATGATGATGATGATGAGGATGATGATGAGGAGGAGATTGGATATATACCCCACCCTTCACTCAGAGTCTCAGAGCGGCTGACAAACTCCTCTCCCTTCCCCTCCGCACAACAGACACCCTGTGAAGTAGGTGGAGCTGAGAGAGCACTTTCGAGGACTGCTCCTGAGAGAACAGCTCTGACAGAACCATGGCTTGCCCAAGGTCATCCAGCAGCTGCAAGTGGAGAAGTGGGGAATCAAACCAGATTAGAGTCTGCAGACTTAACCACTACACCAAACTGGCTCCCAGTCGTCGTTCTTTTCTCCCTTCTAGGAATGTGGAATGTAGAGAGAATTATGTTTGGGAACAGAACTGATGAACTCTCTTAGAAATTTTAGACCCCGACCTCTTGCCTGTTTTATCCTGTAAAGGAAAGACTCTGTATCTGTTCAGGGTGCTAGCTTGTGTGCTCTTGAGCGCGTATCAAAAAGGATAATTCCTAAATGGAAATTGTATGCTCTGTGAGCCAAGAGCCTTGAGGGAGTTTCTGTCTGCTAGATAGACCTAGGAAGGGATGAGTGTGGGTGGGGGGGTGCCTATTCTAAACAGAAAAGGCTCTCCCATGCCAAAAACACTGACATTGCCCTAGGATCACACCACAGCACGCCCAAGCAAACAACACGCCATACCATCAGGATCCACGTCTCGGGCCAGCTTGAGCGCTTCGGAGGTGGTCATGTCGGTGTTGGCAGCGGTCACCGCCAGGATCAGGCAGTTGGGGTTGGAAATATAGGAAAGGATCATATCCCGGACCTGGACCTCAATGTCAGGGGGCTGGTCCCCCACGGGAACCTGCGAGACAAAGCAAAGCTTGGAAGCACCAGGTGCCATGGGGAAAGGCCCACCGGGGGGGGG